GCGGTCTTCGAACCCACGACAAGCTGAATTCACCCGAAAGATAAAACGAGGATTACAAGCGTTCACTGTCAGCCCCACGTCCAATTATATTGCTAAATACATTTTTGGAAAACGTAATCTCGATACGTCTATAAATTCAATTTTATATCTGCTTAAATTGTCACTTCCATATTATAAACCAACATATTCCATTAAAATACACAGTACAACCTTGAATTGCTGCAAGATGAAGAAAAAAATATGAATTTTAACTTGATAAACGAGCAACTCGTATTTGATGAGAAATTTTGTCTTCTGGTTCCAATTTTACGTAAGCTAGTAGTAGCTATGTTGTATAGTGTCCCAAAAATGTTCTTAAGTATTCTTATGTATTCTTATGTATTCTTATGTATTCTTATGTATTCTTATGTATTCTTATGTATTCTTATGTATTCTTATGTATTCTTATGTATTCTTATGTATTCTTATGTATCTTATGTATTCTTATGTATTCTTATGTATTCTTATGTATTCTTATGTATTCTTATGTATTCTTATGTATTCTTATGTATTCTTATGTATTCTTATGATTGTGAAAATTTGTCGCAGCGCAACATGCGGCTCCCGCAAAATACCTTAAAAATGGCTCTTTGCTCCCAAAAGGTTGCCGACCCCTACAATAACCTTACCTTCCGTAAAAATAATGTTTACATTTTAAAATGCCTCAAGATAATAAGTTGCTTTCGATAAAAGAGCTTGTATCAAATAAAATACAATAAACAAAAAAGTGACTTAGTAAAACAGTTTCACTTCTTTGGTATTTTAGCACATATCAAGTAAAAGCTTATAGGATTGTCCGGCAAAGTGAGTATAAAAGTGCCAACAACATTTCGAATTTGAGACGACAAGAACCAAAGGAAACGCCGAATAAAAGAATATATTGAACGGAACCGGCTGAACTTTCTCCTGTGAAAGTAAAATGATTTCGTAAAGGTTATTTCTCGTTCATGTAGCCCGTTTTCTAGGCGTAATTTTCTGTAGTGAATGTGTACGATAATTTATTAATTATTAATAGATGCCGTTCAATGCTCGCATTGTTAATATTAATGATCGCGTTTACGGTGAGAGTTAAACGTGTTAGGAAGCGTTAGTAAATGAAATCGCCATATGTTGTATTCAATTATTCAAAAAAACACTAAATAAAAACGTTTGTCCCAACCATAATCAGTTGTTATTTATTCATTTCACTTTCGCTCAAGATTTTATCTATTAATTAATGTTAATATTCACCTAACTGTTAATTATCTTTATACATGGTTTTTTATTCGTTGTAAGCAACAATTAACATAGCAGTTGTTTTTTCTCTCTAGTGCATTGCGTTCAATTCTCTGTACATAAATGAATGTAGTTTTGTACAAGGTCGGAAATAGTAAACAAAAAGAATAAAATACAAAACTTACATCCACAGATGTTTCAATTTTTTTTTAATTGATGGATTTTATTTATTATGAGGATTATTTTCTCGAGATGAGAACCGATTAAAGCTGCCGAAAATGAAAAATAAGACGGCGTTAATAAAAGGCTCTGGAATGATGGACGAGCGGCGTGTTCGAATTAATAAATTCTTTTATGCTGCGTATAAATTTTCTTTCTGAAACGAAACATCGTCGGGTTGTTGTAAAGAGGGAATACAGAAATTCAAAACTTCTTGTTGCCTCACGTTTATTCTCCGCAGATTGGACTCGCGATAAAAGCCAATATACATTCCGCCGCGCAAAGAATTTCCGAAACATAACACTAGCATAGTTTTTGGTACGCATTGTCTTCAGAATACAACAAAAAAATATAAATAAATTAGAAGAATGCTACCGATTTTAATATTAATTCGCTGTTAATCTTATTTTTTTTTTGGTATTTAATGATCGGGCGGTTATTTAACTGAAAGCTATTAAGAAAACTGCGTTGGCTGAGTTATTCAACTCTGCGGTAAATTTATAATATAAAGAATAAAAAGTAAATGCAAAAGCATTCAGTGATCTGGTTTTATATAATTAACAAACAATGTGACCTTTCGATTCGATTTGCATTTAAATTACTACAAAACAACATTTTCTTATTGCATATTTCTATAATTCATATAATTAAATTAATATTACAAAAATTGCCTTTATTAATTTTTTCCAATGAATTTATAATAATTTTTATTCTAACAATAAATAAAAACTATTTATATAATCATAAAAATAATGTAAGAAATGATCAAGTGTTACAAGAAAAAATAATATACTGAATGAAATATTTTATTAAAATATATTTTCGTATGTAAATTGCTGCAACCTTGGGACGTTTGTGTTTCCGTTAACGCAGGTAAAAAAAATAGCAGAGGCGGTTACCAAATATTGACACATTTTTTTGTGTGTTGTTGTTGTCGGTTTTTGTTGAAGGAAATGATGTAGGTTTTTTCATTTAATTTTGAAAAGGGCAAAGTGTACGTAATTGGCAGGTAGATTTTGCTTCCTGCGTTTCTCACTCCGTTACATAATTATAATTTAACGAGGGTTGGGGAAACCCTTTGTGGGACAAAATTCAATGAATAATATATATGTTTAGTAGAGGCTTCAATAATAATGGTTGATTACTTTTATATAATTTATTCAGAGTAGTAATATTTGATTATATACAATTAATGTTATGAATTCGTTTCAAAAAAGTTAACTGTGGGTAAAAAACCAATAGTCCTTTACAATAATGTAGAATAACGTATTTTTTTAGAATTTTGTTTACCCTTTACTTTGCAATTGTTATATTTGATAATTAGAGTGTAAAATCGATTAGTCCGGTAAAAAAATCGTGCATATTGCCTGAATCGATTACCAGAATTCTTAATTAATTCTCAAATCATTTGCAGATTGAGCATAACTCTCTTTGAGGGCCCTGGGCTAAATTTGTATGAGGGTTCTGGGTAAACTCTGCATGAGGGCCCTGGGCTATCATTTTGTGGGTGGCCATTGAGTAGCACTATTTAAGCACCCTCAACTAACGCAGTTTAGAGGTTTCTAACGGAAATTCCTAAATTATGCTAACATGGAATGAATTGAAACTGCAGATTTTTTTATCATTAAATGAATCAAACCAACTTTATAAAACTAAATAGAATTAAGCCGACATTGAGGATATTTTACATGCAATTAAAATGGAATTATAAAATTTAGAGTTAGAATTTAATTTTATTAAAAACGTTAGATTATTTGAAAACGAACATGGTTTTAATTGAAACTTGTTTTGATAAAAATAGAAATATGAGTCAAACATTAAATGATTCAAACTAATGTTATTAATTCTATAGAATTGAATGTTATTATAGAAATAATTTGGAGTTGGGATTAAATTTTATTAAAATCTTTAAGATACTTAAAAATAATTCGAACAATTATTATGAATTTGAATTGTAATATCATTGTTTTTTCATTTGTTTGCAATAATTTGTATAGGAATACCTCATACAATGCGGGTAATAGGTTCCGCTAATATCCAGAAGGGTTTGAAACCGGACTAATCGAGGAACTTAAATACGTTAAAAAAAAATGTTCTATTTGTTAGAATTTATTTTTATTTTGCTCAATTCAACTTTTATTTGTTTTGAATTTTTCAAACTGGACTATAGTGAATCCGGACTAATCGAAGCCTGATTATACGAAAAATATTTTACGTAAATAGTGAATATATATCAAATTTTCAAACAAACATGAATTTTAATTGTGTTTTATTAAAGTCTGTAGGATATTTTAAAATATGATTTACTACAATGTTAAGTAAAACTGTTTTTGTTTTGTTTTCAAGGATATTATTAAGAATTTGAGTCAAATTTTCTGCAATTACATGATTCAAACGAACATTGTTACATTTAACATACTATTTTCATTTTCCGAGCATATTACTAGGAATATGAGTTTTTTTACAATTATATAATTATTTTAACAAACTTTAAAAATTCGGTATTTTTTTAGGATATTTTTAAAATTTAAATAATGAAAGTTTTTAAGGAATTTAAAAATAATATGAGTCGATTATGCAATTATATAAGTTGTACAAATATCAAGAATTCGACAAAAAATAGTAGATTTGATGTTTTCAATTAAATTATTTTGTGTTGTTTGCAAAACTGTTAATAGAAAAAATCATTATAAATTTGAATTGAATTTTATTAAACCCTATAGGATATTTTTCAATTGAAATTAATTTAGTTACTTTCTTTTTATTTTCAAAGATTTCATTAATAAATTCAATAAAGTCCTTAGGATAATTATGATTGAATTTAAAGTTTTTAGTAAAAATAATAATTTTTGTTTTCAAGGATGTTAATGAGAATATGACTCAAATTTGCCGCATTAACTGATTCATAAAGCAGCAGTTGCGTAACAGCCGGATTATTCACAAACGCATATAAACTTGAATGTGAACGCTTTAAAGGAATATCATAGAAGACGACCCTCGTGAAACAGGTGCTCAGCAGCCCTTAAACCGTTGCTAAGGGTTGAAAAGAAACGTGCAAGATGCGAGCGAGATAGCTTAAAAAGAATTCTTTTCTTTCGCTTTATTGTTATGACCATCATCAAAGTGCACATTCGCGCAGTTTACAAAAGTCATTGTCGTGCGCTGAGGATTCGTCACGAGAATTCATTCTGCAAAGAGCATTAGCGCGAAAATGTGTATGCACAACAAATTAGCATCGAATGTTTGGTAATGCCCAGAGGATTCGAGATAAAAGGGAAAGTGATGTTATAAACTATATTTAATTTCTATTTATTTTTTGTTATTATTTCTTCTTGTTGCTTGTTTTTGATCGAACTGGAAATGTCACGGGCAAGAGTTTATTATTATCATTATCTTCGAATCGGTTCGCGTGTTCGAAGATGCATCGTGGAAGGAATATAAGAGAGTTCGCAGCAGCAATTTGCATGCGAAATATCGCATGATATTTCTGCGCGAAACGTTATTTTTTTTCGGAATTTTTCTCTCACCTTTGCAAAAATTTGCACTAGCACTACAAAAATCCATTGGTAATTAGCACCCATCTTGAGCATCGTTCGGTGTGTCACGGTGAACTGCTGCAGACGATTCGCACTTTTATGTGTTTTTTTTTGTGTGTAAAATATCCAATTTATTTATTTTTGTTTTGTTTTTCGTTATTTCCGTACTGAAACTAAAACCAAACCCAAAAAAAATTGAACACCGAAAGTGTTTCGTTCAAATCACATGTCGTGTGGTTTTTTGGTGCGCGGCGCACTGGAACATTCCGCGTTCAACAGCTCGACTCGGCTTTCTGATGATGAAAGTTGCTCGCCTGTTGGATCGTTGAAGTCACCGGAATCCAGTTTCGAGTGTCTACGACGAGATCCCCCCGACTACTCTGCTCCGCTCAATACCTCTTTCCCCATTGTGACTACACCTCTCATTCTAGGTTCCTCTCTATGCACACGTAACGATGCGCTCCTCCTGACAATTACCCAAAAAATGTTCCGGTGACTTCTGCAGCAGAGGAAGAAATGTCGCAATTGTAATAAAAAAAAATGCGCACATCTAGAATCATCTATTGAATTGACGTCGGATAACGATCCAGGTGGTTCTTTGTGTTCCTCTGCTAATTTGAGAAATATTGATTGAAAAAAATGCTGTTTCCATAGTATGACAAATTCTTATTTATTAAAATATTTTTGTTCAAACTTTCTAATCATAAAGAAACATATAAATAAAATATTTACTAATCACAAGAAAATAATGAAACAATAAAATAATTAAAAAAGCATTATTTATTGGTATTGTAATATAATCGTTGGCAATTGAAATCCCATCAATCAAAATCTCGACAACCATAATTCCGACTATATTAAAATCCCGACATCTATTATTCCGACTGTATCGGAATTTCGATATTGTCGGGATTTTAATACAGTCGGGATTTCTATATAGTCGGGATTTCTATACAGTCGGAATTTCTATATAGTTGGTATTTTGATACAGTCGGGAATTTGATTGTCGGGATTTCGATATAGACCCTAAAATAATATCTGAATTCAAGAGTAATTTCATTACAAAACTAATATTATTTATTAAACTCTTCGTAAAGTAAATATGGAGTATAGTGTAATTTTAATTGTCTAAACTGTGAACATATTATGTTTAACTCCTTTTTGTGCCTGTGATTCCACCATGGGACCACATATATAATAATTATTTTCAAGCAACCCAGTTGGAACAATAACTTTGGTCACATTGTATGAGTGCTTGGCTTTGATAAACTGCAGTTTTCAGCGATTTTGCTTCAGAATCTGGTACATAGTATTTGTGTATAAATGCTCGAAAATAAATTATATGACTAAATGGCGGGTATATAATATGTAATTATAATGTTATTATCATTCATTTAGTATATACTATATTTGTTTTAGCGAAATAATAAAATACAGTTGAAACCACGAGTACTCTGCTTACATTTTTTTTTCTTTATTTTAGACAAATCGTATTTGGACTTTTATGATTTTTTAAAATTGCCATCAGGCGACTAGTTTACGCTTATAAACTAAATACCGTCAGATAATGATTTCCTAGCATTTGTTGACCTAATAGTTGTAAATGCTTATCTTATTTTTAAAGAAAGAACAACAACAGCCGGTAAAACTTTATCAAATTATCTCATACGTGCGGATCCGGAAGTGTACAATAAGGGAAGAAGAAGCAACGAGGTAACTGGCACTGTTCTTGGTGTAAGTTAGAACAGTGCTTCAGCGACAATAGTTTCATATATTTTCAAATAATAACCATTTTTTAAATCTTTTATTATTCATAAATATTGCGTGACAGTTTTGACAAAAAAAATAAGTTGGGCCAGGGTTAAAGTATTTTTGAAGTTGAATTCATAATTTTATTTCTAAAATTATTTTTGTTATTGTATAATTGTTACAATTATTATTATTATGTTTAGAAATTTATTGTACAAATAAGAAATTGTTGAATATTCGATAAATTAAAAAGACATAAAGGAAATATTGTTTATGATGAAGATTTCTTTAAACAATTAGAATATACATTAATTCCTCGTACTGTGAAACTGGAATAATCAAAAACTTTAAAACCGTATAAAAATAAATAGCTTAAAAAGAGATTTGATACAGGAAGAAAAAAACAATAGTTTTGTTTTTAATTTTTTTTAAATTTATTTTTATTTTAAAATTAGGTTTTTTATTAAACCGTACTGTTTGAAACCGTATTTTGCTAAGTATTGTTGTATTATTTTATTTAAAGTACAGTAAAACCTGGTTTAAAGAAGTGTTAAATTAACTGTCGGGGCGACTAATAGCCGAATGGTTAAGTAAGCTAGTGGGAACAGGTTCAAATCTTGGTCGAGCCAGGCCCTTTGTGAGCCTTGTCGGTGCTTACAGCAATAGGGCATCACAGATGGACAGTGAATTGAATGAGGTTCAGCATATGGACCTTCAGCCAAGTCGATGGACAATGACAGTGTTAAGGATAGCAGCAGATTTATAGTAAAAGGAAATAGTGGAATCGCAGAGCATCAAAATATTATTGAAGTTAACCTACAAGACGACAGCCAACATACAAATTTAAATAAATCATCATAATGGTAACTATCCACCGGGAAAGATTACCATTTAATGTCAACCGCGATCTTAAATTTACTCAATGTTCACATTGATGAACAGATTGTGAATAAAATTACACGATATGAAAAAAATATTTGTCATATTAATGTATGTATAAATGTATAGCAGTATTAGACTTTGAATAGACCACAACCGAAGCAGGAATATAACTATTCTCCTTAAAGGCTTATTGTTAATAGCAATTGTTCAAGGTTTTTTTTCAGATTTTTCCTGCATTTATTTCTCTAATTATATAATTGTTACAATAAATATTATTATTATTATATGAAAGAGCAAAAAGACCTATAATTCATAGCCCTTTGCAACAGCCTAATTTAATTTCTGTTATTATATTATTGTAGTGAGTTTATATTTTGGGAATTTATTGTTTCAATAAAAATTATTATTATTTTATTAAAGGATTTATTGTATATGAAAAATAAATGAAATATATGAAGATGCGGATACATTTAGCTTTCCGCAAATTTTATAATAGAATTTTTATAATATGAAAAAATAAGGAAACCTTATTGTAAGATCAACAGAATCTAGTGAAAGATCGATTTAAGCTAATTTTATCTTTAAATTTCATTGTAATTATTAATAGTTTCTTATATTTATACTTTACAAGTGTTTTCATACCATGTTTTCTTTCATATTCATTGTTAAAAAAAATATACAATTTTACCAATTAATAAAAACTTAACTACGTAAGCAAGTAAATATAAAAAATCTAAATTTAGTAAGATAAATTATTTAGATTGGTACAAGTTTGTCAATCAATGAAAAGTCAACAATCGTAAATTTCATATACGTTCTAATAAGTAACTAGAAGGAACTAGATTTACTAAAATAAATTATTTAAGTAGATTTACATGTTAGTAAAATTGACATTTTTACTGTCAGAAACTGTACAGGGTGGCCCAATTGAACTGCAACTTTTCAGAAAACTGTATTATTTTATTTCAAATTGGATTTCATTGAACCAAAAGCAAAATATGTTGGAAAACATTTAAATTTTTCAAATTCATTTAAAATTTTCGATATGGGCGCTTTTAGCACAAACTATGCTCAAAGCTGGTCAACAAGCGAGTCGCGCGCTGCACGAAGGTGAACCTGCGAAATATTCCTCCATTCACGAAGAAGAGCTTTCTTGAGCACATAAATACTCTGGTATTTTTTAGTTCTGTTATTGGCCTGTAAAATGCCCCATACCAATAACTTGAGCTGATTTGCATCTGGTCACCGTGGAGGCCACTGTGTGGTCGAAATGAAGTTTGGAACGTTTTCTCTCAGCCATTGTTGATTTTCACGTGCTTTGTGTGCAGAATATTTTTGAAACGACCACTTTTTCTGACTGAAGTGTTTGGTTACCCATGGCTTCAGAGCACCTTCCAAAATTTTTTCGTGATAGACATTCGCATTAACGGACTATCGACCGTCACATACTCCCAAACTACCACAAAAGATGGTGCTTGACTTCTTGTGGCCATTCAAATATCTACTTTTTCGTTTGACATTTCTTCTAAGTAAAATCGATCATATTGTTTATTTACACATTTCTCAATTGGGAATTTTTTTTCATCAGACAAAACGATATTTGGCCGTGTTCGTGCAAGTGTAACAGCTCCTTCGCTCAATCCATTCTAGTTTTTTTTTAACATCGGTGAGATCTTGTCCTTTTTGGAAAATATGAGGCTTTACTTTGATTTCATTTTTGAGTATTCGTTGCATGGTTATTTTCGATATGTTCAGCTGAGTAGCCATTTGTCTTCCACTGCGTCGCGAATTTGATACAAGTTGAAACTTAACTTTCCGAACCACTTCTGCCACATATATAGTTTTTTTCCGACCACCAAAATAATATTTTGTAATACTACTAGCTTCGTTATAACATGTTATGGTACTTTTGGTTTTCCGCTCAAATATCAGAATATTGCGTTTGAATTCCATCACGGATATTTTTTTTCCAAAAAACTGAGATGCAAATGCTTCCGCAAGCTTGTAAACAATAAAATCAGCTATCATTAGGCAATATATCGACACAGCATTAACAGCGCCTCGAAAATTATAGCGGGTTTTAAATTGGTTTCAATTCAATTGGGCCACCCTGTACAAATTTATAAATTAATGAAAAGTGAACAATCGTAAGTTAAGTTGTAGATACATTTTAGTAAGTATCTATAAGGAACTAAATTTACTAACATAAATTATTTAAGTTGATATACATGTTAATAAAATTGACATTTTTAATGTCAACAAATATAAAAATTTATCAATAAATAAAAACATCATTTCAGATAGATTCTATTATGTATTTTTTGGTAATAAATAAGTGTAAATATAAATAAATGTTATTAATCTTTTATTTTTATTTACTTCTTATGTTTGACTGTTGCAACAAACGATATGATCATAGTTTGTTGAATTTGTTAAATTTAATACGGTTAGGACAGTTTTTCATCACGCTTGAGCAAATGTTCAGTAAGTATTGATTCACCATAAGTGAGATTTAGCTACGTACAAATAGAAATTTAATATATGTCGCTCGTAGAAAAGTCTAAATTTATTGGTTTTCCCTTTAGAAATTAATAATAGCCGTTCATTAAAGACGACAGCTTGTTTTTTATTTTCTTTGCAAACAGAACGCATGAAACGGACAACCTTGCGTTCATAACGTATTCCAGTATATTAAAATGTCAAGCAATAAATTTTTCATCCGGGATTTACTGCAAATAAATATTTTCTGCGGTCAACAAAAAAAAACAGAGAAATATTACGATCCGTCGAACCAATTACATTGATCACATCTGTTTTCATTAATAATAGTTCGTTTCATTCAAACTGCAAATGGAACGACACGAATGATTATTAATATTTTGGTGTTGCGTTGCGAAACAATGATCAATATGGATGGACAGAAGGACGAATTTCCATGCGTGGGTGGTATGTTTTTAGGGGTTTTCAGTTGGTATTGGAAATGTGAAAATCAATTGAGCCAGTCTCGAGTTATGCGCGATTATTTGTACATGCCACATGGTCATTCGTACGACAGAACGGATCGCAGTACAATGGATTCGGAATGTTGCCAAATCACCATACACACGCACTTTGTTTTCGGATAATATTTAGATTAACAATTGTAATTTTATAAGTAATTCATGTACGGATAACTAATGAGAATACGTTACGAAATAACCAAAGACGTAATCGATTAGTAAACAATAATTTCCATATTCCAAGTATACAATGCACGTAGAATTTGAGTTATTTTCTGATGACTGTACTTTAAGTCATCAGGAAATAACTCAAATTCTACTTATTCAACAAAAAATCACTCATATCTCGATTATTAAATGGGAGGCGTTTAACGAAATTACTTCGTTAAGGAAAGTTCGTTTTCAGAGGTAAAAATACTATGACCAGAATGGGGATACATGTTTATTAGGTTTTTTTAATCGTGGGAAACGTTCCTTCGTAAAAAAATAAAAAGTATTGCTTCGAACAAAGAAAAATGTTCTTAACTGTAAAACTTACGAACAAACTGAAATGAATTTGTCTAAAATTAATTGTTTGTGCTTCTTTTCTCTTAATATTTCTTCCTAAATCAGGATATTTTGTAATAACAAAAAATTGCGTTTTCAATGTTATTTAAATAATTTTTTAAATCTTTAGTTGTTATTTTTACTTTAACTTTTTTAATTTCATCTTTATTATTGCTAACAAGGTTTTCTAAATTTTCCACTCAAAAGCCATCATCTTCTATATTCACTAATTTTCTAACATTTTCTTCATACATGTTTGTTAAGTTTTTTAATTGTGTAGGAATGGGGATACGTTCCTTCATATAGAAAATGAAAAACATTGCTTCAAACAAAGACAATCAACTTAAGTACAAACTTGAATCGATTAGAAAAAAAAATTAGTCTAAAATTAATTGTTTGTGCTTTTTGTCTCATTTGCTTAACATTTGCTTATACGGTTATTGCATTCAACACTAATCGCTTAACATTTCTTCCTAAATCAGGAAAACTTTTACTTTTTTTGGGAGGAGAGGAAAACCATAGGGACGACGGTAAATTCGTGGTACTGTGGCATTCTTATCCACTAAAAACCTCTCCTCTTCTTCGTCAACATTCAGGTCCTGATTGTTGATACTGCTCTGAAATGTTGATTGTCTCACTTGATAGTTTAAATCAGTGTTGGCTTCCACTGCCATTTTCTTCGTTTTCTCTCTCCATTCTCCTCTGATCTTCTTCCTTGGTAGAGAGTACATTTGATATTATACCTTGCAATTACATTCCATTTGTTGCTGCTTTTCAGCAGTTCACTGACAAAATTCTGCTGGGGTTATAACAACTCCGAGTTTTGCTTCAGTTACATGCTTCCTTGCAGCCCACCTGCAGCAACCGAATAGCGTATGCTCTGGGCTGTCATTATTCTCGCAATACCAGCACTTCTCGTCCTCCTTCTTCGTAATGAAGTGGAGATATTTGCTGAAACATCCGTGTCCAGAAAGCGCCTGTGTCAAATGGAATGTTACTTCCCCGTGGTTTCTATTAATCCATGGTTTGATTTCTGGGATGAGTCTTCTAGTCCAGGCTCTCTTCTCTGAAGTTTGCCGTTTTTCCTGCCATCTTTGTTTGCCACAGACATCCGTTGACTTCTCTTTTCTCTCTATGGCAAAGGAAAACTATTACTTACAAGAATAAAACGTTTGAATCATATAATATTTAATTATCAATAATATTAGTTTTGTGAATTTTTCAATAAATTAAATGTTTATTTGTTTTATCTATTATATATTAAATAATACTTATATTATTTACTCATCTACTTATATATTATTCGATAATAATTCATTGATGTTTCATTGTTGCTTATGAAGATACAAGGAAGCAAATTAATTAAATCTTATCTTAAATATTGCTTCATTATCAATTCAGTCGTTAAGAAAATGTTTAATATCTTGACTTAATTAATTATTAACAAATTGTTAAACAAACAACATGTTTATCTTTGAATTATGAAGTTTTTTTTCATATAATTTTTTTTCATTTTATAATTAATAGTGTTTTTTTATATTGCAATAGAGACTTTGAAAATACATATTTATAATTTCTAAAATAAGTCTAATTCCTAATCAACTACTAATTTACTGAATTTAAATCGAGTACATTTAAAGTACATTCAGGGAGAAAGTAGATTTTATACTTATCATTACCATTTATATAGAAACCTTATATATTCAAGAAAAGTAGAAGACCTTAAAAAGGGAACAATACGAATTCCTCAAAAGCGTCTTAATTGACCCAATTTAGAGTAAAAGGGGGAGTGAATTAGAAGGCGTTAATTAAAACCTGTGTGCTTGCATATATTTTTTTATTCTTCTCCTAATTTCTTCGTTCTGTCTTAACCGCAGCTCTATTCTCATCCTGCAAAAGACAGAAGTACAAAAAAATCTAAGCTATTTTAATTAAAACTTAACTTTTAAACTATATTAATTCGTTCTATTAACAAAGTAAGTGTATTTTTATTTAGTCTTAATTATATTTGTGTTAATTAAAACTTAGCCTTGTCTTAATTCGTTCTAATTGCAACATAAGAAATTCTCAACTTTCCAAAGATAGAAGTACACAAAAAATCTAAACTTAGCTTTAAAACTGTTTTAATTCTGTTCTAATTGCAAGGTATTATTATTTTGTCTTAATTTTATTTGTGTTAATTAAAACTTAGCCCCGAAACTACCTTAATTCGTTCTAATAGCATCATAAGAAAATATTATTTTTTGTCCAAATTGTATTTGTGGTGAAGACACTTGTGGGCAGCGACGAAAGGATCTTCGGTTTCTCTTTTTTTTTCAATGGGGGCGGCCCGTTACGTTTCGGTATAAACGCGCCGCCACCAGAGGCTCTGCTGCCTCCGTATCGACCGCCGCCACAACCCTCCAAGTAGCAGCCCCCAACGCAGCAGAGCGCTCGAATCGCCGCCGCCCGTACATCGTTCCCCATTACTCGCACAACCCGACACGAAAAAGTCTCAACAATAAAAAAAAAGTATAAATAAAATTGCAATAAACAACCTCCTAGTATCGTAGATACAGGTAGCAGCAGTTCATTCGACCAAAGAAACGTAAGTTCTTTTAAGTTTTTTTTGTAATATATAGATGAAAGTATTTAGTTAGAATTAGTTTAAAAAAAAATATATATATTTGTAAAGCGCTTTGTTGAAAACTGTATAATCTGAGGAATCAACTGGTTTTAACGTTGATTCTTCGTTTCTCGTTCCGTTTCTACCCATGGGATCGCGAGGGTGAGTGATTCGTAGTAACGGGGAAATCGATAGACGCGCGAGGAGAGAGCGCGTGAATTCCCGAAAACCTCCACTGACCCCCATCTTAAAACTGCAACACAAAAGAAGAAAATAAGAACTAAAAAAAAACTTAATGCATTCTTTTCTTGTATTATTATTATTATTTTGAAATCAATAGCTATGAACAATTGATTCGCCTCCTCCCAAAGGCCGAGACCGATGATGGCAAAGCAATCATAATGGATTTCTTCATGTATGCGTGCGTGTATATATGTGTGTGGGACTGAACGTTTTCAGAATGCCGACCAGATCGTAATTAATTACAAGATAACATTTAATATCTGAGGCCGAGCATTCCACACCGTTGGCCAACATTATCACTAAATTACTTTACGCACCGGATCGTTGTGTATATCCGCCGCGGAGGTCGTAAACTTGATCGGATCGAAGATCCGACTTATTTATCCCTGGGTCCAGAGACCCGGCGCGAATTTCAATCTCCGATCGCGATTTATCAGCGAACACCTTTCCCTTCCATTTTACAATTTTTTTTTGCTGTGTTCTTGTTGTGGTTGTTGTTAATATTCTTGAACATTCCTAAGCGTATGTAATTCTGAAAGGGTTGAACGGACACCATCCGAGGAGAAAATCGAATCACTTACCCGAAACCTGAAATTAATTAGGGGGGGAGACACCCAAGATCGTCGTTGCGTTAAATGTTAAATTGATGTTGTTTTTTTTTCTTGCTGTTTTGTGTTCTTTTTGCCTATGACTTTCTATGGTTTTCTAGTTCGTGTTGTTGGTTGGCCGGTCTTCGTGCAGGCCGTCAAGATTTCCGAGTGTGGTAAATACTGCGGCCCGGCGACCGCAAACGGCCCAACCATTTCGTTCAGCAGTTTCCGACAGTCTTTCACCTCCAATGTCAATTACCTAAAACGACGGTTCAGCTCCGGGGATTTATCCTCGGAGTGCGACGAGAATGAGTCCCAGGTTGACCCCTACACCAAGGCGCCTCCTGTCACCTCGCAGCCTCAGGTAAGTTTATTGCAGACTGGCTTCAATCCGTTGCCATTTATTACTAATTCATCGGCTGCTGCTGCCGTCGCCCCAGGATAACGCATATCGCTCCATTTTACCCATCCAAATCTCAACAACCGACTATGCAAAACCCCATCCTCCATCCTCAATCTCGCATCTCTAAAATCAATTTCATTTACAAAAACTTATAACTATCTCAAAACAACGTGAAAAAGATAAGCAAAAGTCAACAAAATTATAATAAACAACTTTAATGGACTATTGATAATTAATCCAATTTTTAGTTCATGCGTAATGTTATGCCATAATAGCTTCCATTTTACCCATCCAAA